CAGCGGTGGGTCCGTCCTGGAGCCAGCTGGAATTGGCTCTGCTGGACGTGGGGGAAGTTTGTGGCAGCTGCTCACAGAACCCAGCCCTGGAGCCCCCCTGCTACCAAAACCTGGCAAACCCAAGGTACTGCCAGCATGGATCACCTGGAATGTAGGTCAGCAGGTCTGTGCCCAACATGGTTTGCAGTTGGGTCACTCATAGGGGTTATTGTGGACACAGGACACCTAGTGACTTCTAGAGATGGACCTGGGCAGGAGGAACCCCCAAGCCAATGCACTCACACTTTGTTTTTCCCCCCACACCAGGATTTCTCCTTCCCAAACCTTGGCCAGATAGAGGAGGAGGCTGCAAGGAAGAGGAAGATGCCCCGGGACCCCCAGGCAGGTGAGGAGGAAGTCAGTGCCCCTTTGCCTTGTCTTGTCCTGTGTCTCCCAGCTGAGCATGGCCCCCGGCTGCAGGACAACCCCGCTACCGCCACCGTCCTGCCGGGGCCGGAGTTGGGGGGATGTCCTTGGCCTTCCCTCTGGGCCAGAGGCAAATCCCCTCCCTGTCCTTCTTCCTTCCTGCCCCAGGCCCCGAGCTGAGGACGGAGAGCACGGAGGACAAATCCCCCCAGCAGAGCCTGGTGGGAGAGGCCGTTTTGAAGGGCTCCACGGTACAGGAAGGTAGTGGGGAGGGAAAGCCACGAAGGTACCCCAGGAGGAGGGGCTCCAAAGCCAGCCCAGGGTGCTCTGAGGAGGAAAGACCCACCCTGTGCCGGGAAGGCGACCGGAGCTTGAGCCAGAGCTGCGACCAGGAGGTCCATGAGCAGCCTCCCACTAGGAAGAATCCCTACAAATGCTTGGAATGTGGCAAGACCTACAGCCGGAGCTCCATGCTCCTCACCCACTGGCACACCCACACGGGGGAAGAGCCCTACATGTGTGGGGAATGTGGGAAGAGCTTCAGTCACAGGTCCAGCCTGATCCGCCACCGGAACATCCACACCCGAGAGCATCTGTACACATGCTTGGAATGTGGGCAGATCTTCAGCCGGAGATCCCACCTGATTGGGCACCAGATCATCCACACTGGTGAACGGCCCCACAAGTGCTTGGAATGTGGGAAGAGCTTCAGGCGGAGCTCTCACCTGATTGGCCACCAGCGCAGCCACACGGGGGAACGGCCCCACAAGTGCTTGGAATGTGGGAAGAGCTTCAGCGACAGCTCCACCCTCCACAACCACCAACGCATCCACACCGGGGAACGGCCCTACAAGTGCTTGGAATGTGGGAAGAGCTTCAGCTGCATCTCCCACTTGATCTTGCACCAGAAGACTCACACTGGGGAACGACCCTACAAGTGCTTGGAATGTGGGAAGAGGTTTCTGACCAGCTCACATCTCCTCAGGCATCAGCAAATGCACAGAGAGGAGAGGCCCTTCCACTGCACCGACTGTGGGAAGAGCTTCAAGGACAACTCCATGCTCATCACCCACCAACGCATCCACACCGGGGAGAGGCCCTACCAGTGTGAGGAGTGTGGGAAGAGTTTCATCTGCAGCTCCCACCTTGTCAGGCACCGGCGCATCCACAGCGGGGAGAGGCCCTACAAGTGTGACGAGTGTGGGAAGAGCTTCACTCAGAGCTCTAACTTGACCACACACCAACGGACCCACCAGTAAGAGAAGCCCTGTGAGCACCTCGACTGCAGGAAGAGCTTCATCTGCTGCTCCAACTCCATCACCCATTGGAGAACCCATGCTGGATGATCCACAGTGACCCACATTCCAGATGATATACATTGGGAAGACATCTGGCAGGTGGTCTCCATCCTCCTGGTTCCCTGTAGGCATCTGGATGAAGGCAGGGGAGGAACATTCATCAGGACACAGACTAAGATTGGAAATTCATTGAGAAGAGCAAATTTTTTGACTTTAGACCTGTGGCAGGACATCTCCCCTGGAATGTCCAAGCAAACTATGCCACGGCCTGGTGGGGTAAGGAATAGGGATGCAACACTGCAAAGAAGGGTCCAACAAGATAGAAGGTCGGGGTACAATGGCCACTTTAAAGGGAGGACTGGGACTTATCTAGGGTTTGGCTGAGGGAAGTTTGGTAACCGGGGCAGAGCATGAGATGGACAGCTCAGGGTATAACAGGATAGGAGAACAAAGGGAAAGGAGGGAGGAACTTGGGAGGAGCTGGGAGTCAAGGACCAATGGGAGCTCACTCCGCACTGCGGCACTTCTCAGCCAGTCAGTGTGGGATGAGCGGGAAAGCAGGGGAGAGCAAGGGAGTAAACAACTTTTGGGCGGGAAAAACTGTGGGCAAGCCCAGGCAAGTTCTGGGTAATACATTTCAAGGGAACTAATACAGAGATATATGGGGAAATACATTAAATGGGGTTCAGAACGGGGATATAAACGTGGAAGTCCATAGGCTGTCATCTCTTCAAGCACCATACAGGTCCCTCCATGCCTGGAAGCGTTGCCATTCCGATTCTTGTTCCTCCACATCTCTCCCTTTTTTGTTTTCTTGAGGGATTGACAGGAACACGGTCTTTGGTGTAAGTCTTTTACATGTAGCTATAACACAGCAAATGGTTAATAATAACACAAAGAGAGTAAACAAAACTCCAGAACATATTAATAGAATCTGTTTAACCCAGTTGGGTAAATTGGGTGAGCCTAGTTTGCCGAATAAATCATCAGTAAATACTTTTGGGGAAAATTTAATGTCATTAATCAGAGCATGCAATGTGTTAATACTTTGGAATACCGATTCAGAATGATCAGAAAAATTCAAACAACACATTCCCTCAAAGTCTTGACATCTGTGACCATGCATTAATAATAGGAAATCTATTGTGGCCCTGTTTTGAAGGGACACCTCTTTTAATTTTTGAGTGTCTCTGACTAAGGCTTCTAGGGTGATGCTGGTCATGTTGGCCTTTTTTGAGAGCCAACATCCCATTTGTGTCAAGGTATTGAGGGCGTGTGAAGCACCTATTCCTGTGATTATAAAGGAACTAAAATAATTGCCAGTAGTAGACCAAAGGTCGACATTGGAGTCGCAATCTTCAGGAATTTTTGGGATAGGGAGGACTCCTTTTGGAGGGTATGAGGCTCCGGGGGGAATTAGAGCGATTTTTGATGAGGTTGAAGAACCTTCTTTTGCCCATTTAAGGGGAGACTGGGGGGTAGGATAATTGAGAGAGTCTTTCCTGTAGGACTCAATGGCCTGGCCAAGGGCTAGTCTCCAATCACTTTTCAGAGGGGACCAAGTTGCGGTAAGTTTTTTAGTGGTAACAACTGGTTTCTTAGGAGTGGTGTATAGACTTGGTGGTCGGGGGGTGAGAGACTTCACCTCTGACCCTACTGCAGGGTATTTTACTTTCAGAATATCTTTGAGAATAGGGTTCTGCATTTTTATCAATTCAAAGTCCCATTTCTGCCGAATCAGGGTAGTGGGTTTTTCATTAATTAATTTAAATTTGAGAGGATGGAACAAGGTAATTTGACCTGTGGTGCCGGGCACTCCTATGGGGTATGAAGAGAGTCCGATCCACGCTCTTTCTCCACATATTAAGAACTGTCCCTAGGCTTAGAACCCACTGATTATGTAGTGATTATCTCTGGTATAGTGTTGTTGCACCACAGGGAAGTATCTTTGTATAATTCTTTAAAAGGGGTAACATCATTTTTCTCGATTCGGGAAGTGGACCGGGACACAAATTTGAAGCACTGATTTGTAATTACTGATCCTAGGGTCTCAAATTCGACAGGCTCTTCTTCAGTATATGAGGGAGACTCAAAATAATTTTTAAAATTATCATTGAGGCAAAGACCAACCAAACATGTTTGGAACAAGTTATTGACGTTGTTAACAGAGAGACATATAACATCATTATTGGTTTCCCGCACCAGTTTCACCCAGATGTTCTCGGGTTGCTGGTATGCCCAAACTGGAACGGCTGGGGTGGGTTCTGGTGCTGTGAGGATTATTCCGATACTGAGGGAGATGATGTATGTGGTCCACATGTTGTTCCCTGAAAGATTTTCACTTGTCTTGCTGGGACCCACTTGGGTCCAGTATCTGCGGAAATGCAGGCGTACCCTTTCCCCCAGGTAATCAGGGGAAAGGGGCCTGTCCACTTGTCAGTCAAAGGATCTTTATAAAGTATTTTTGCTTTTTTCGGACCTTGTGCATTCTCTGTATTAAAATGTCTTTCTACGGGACTTCTGCTTATGGGCATGTCAGATTCCTCCAAAATGTTTGAAAAATTTAGGACGTACATAATTTTCTCCAGTCTTTCCTGAGGAGCCATACCCATGCTCCCCCTTTTTTGTTTTCTTAATAATTTTTTATATTTTGGTGGGCACACTCTACAATACCTTGCCCTGTGGGGTTGTGAGGAATCCCTGTGGTATGGTGAATACCCCAATCACTAAAAAACTTTTTGGTTTCTCTAGACGTATAGGAAGGGCCATTATCCGTCTTTATTTGCTTTGGGACCCCCATTCTTGCAAATGCGGATAGGAAATGTTTCTTAACGTCTTTACTCTTTTCACCGGAATGTGCGGTGGCCACGATCATTTTTGAAAATGTGTCAATGGACACGTACATATTTTAGTCTCTCGAATTCTAGCACATGTGTAACATCCGACTGCCAAATTTCCCACAGCTCCAGCCCTCTGGGATTGGTTCCTTCTGAGGTGAGTGGAGCAACCGCTTGATAGTCAGAGCATGCCTTAAAGATTTCTTTCGCTTGATTTAACTTTAAACCGAATTGTGGGAAATTTTAACCCGTTGGTACAAATTAGGGGTAACAACCATACCTGCCAGATGATCAGCAATCTGGTTTCCCTCCTCCACAGGGCCTGGTAGAGTAGTGTGAGATGTTGTGTGGACAATGTAATATTCAAAATTTCTGTCACGAATTAGAAACAAGTTTTTTAGCAGACCAAATAGCTTTTTATTTGAAACTTCTTTCAAATATGAGTTTTCAATTCTTTTCATAACGCCCACAACATAGACTGAATCTGATATAATATTGATCGCTTCATCTTTGAAGATTTCAAAGGCACGAACAACTGCTGACAACTCCATGATTTGGGGAGAACCTTGGGCTTTATGAATATCTTGTTGCCAATTACCGTTTTCTTGCCAGATGATTACAGTGTTCCCGGTTCTCCCAGACCCATTGGTAAACGACGTGTTGGCACCTTTTATTGGCATTTCTGATTGCATAATTTTCAGTTTCACCAGGATCAGAATTAACCTCTGTAAAAATTGGCATGCCGGGAAGTGAAATTTAATTTCTTCCGGGTAACCTCCGATGGCAATCTGGAAATCGATGGAATTCTGCAGCAGTTGTTCCAGTTGCTCGGAAGTCAGTGGGAGGTCTATGCAACTTGGCTCCTCTCCACTGAGTTCCAAACACCTGGTGCGTCCCTTGAAAACCAATTTTCCAATCATTTCCGCTAGGGTAACGATTGTTTTTGGGAATTGGTGTGGGAGGAATATCCACTCCCACAAACAGAAGTCTTTAGTGTCCGTTGAGAATTGGTCTAATATGGCCAGTGGCTGTTTGTGCTCTCTGATTATAATTAAAGAGGGATGGCAGTCCCTCCATCTTTCTGCCTGTTTGTCTCTCCGATATTTTCTTCTCGACCGTGGAAAGGGCTTTTTCTGCGTCAGGAGTTAAAGTTCTGGGGGAGGACAAGCCTGCATCTCCTTTTAGCAATTCGAATAGGGGGTACAAATCACCAGTTGTGATCCCCAATACTGGTCGAATCCAATTGATCGCTCCCAATAGTTTTTGGAGGTCATTTAAATTTCGGACTTTCTTATCAATCATAACCGATTGAGGTTTGATAGATTTAGAGGTGATTTGGAGTCTGCGGTAACTCCAGGGTGCTTCCCTCTGCACTTTTTCAGGGGATACTTCCAATCCTCGGGAATTTAGGGCCAAAATCGTCAACTTTAGAGTCTTTTCAACTGCTGATTCTGTTTTGGCACAGATCAGTACATCATCCATATAATGGAAGATGATTGACTGTGGAAATTTTTGTCTAATGGGTTCTAACACTTTTGCCACAAACATCTGGCATAGTGTCGGGGAATTTTTCATCCCCTGGGGAAACACTCTCCATTGGAACCTGCGATGGGGCTCACAAGCGTTGATGGCTGGGACTGACAACGCAAATTTGATCGAATCAACCAGATTGAGGTAGATATGAAAGAAACAGTCCTTTATATCAATTACCACTAGGGGCCATTCAGCAGGGAGCATGGATGGAGACGGCATTCCCTGCTGGAGGGCTCCCATTGGTTCTAGGACTTCGTTCACTTTGTGCAGGTCCTGGAGAAATCTCCAGGAACCTGAGGATTTTTGTATCATGAACACTGGAGTGTTCCAGGGACTGGTGGAAGGCTCCAAGTGTCCTTTAACCAATTCTAGATGAACTAGATCATTTAAAATTTGCAGCTTCATTTTGGGTAGGGGCTACTGATCCACCCAAACAGGGGTTTCAGTTTTCCAGTTAAGTCTGGGCAGCTGCACCTGCTCAATGACCCCCCTTAAAAATTTTCCTTTGTCCTCAAGCTCAACTGCCATTGTTCCATGGTGTCCCGTCCCCACAATGTTATTGGAATATTAAGGACATACAGTTGAAGGGATGCAGGCCTGCCCTCTGGCCCATATACTGTCATTATTTCTCGGCTTCTGACTGGATGCTGTGAACCTCCTACACCACTCACACAAGTGTCAGTGGACTGGGCTGGCCAGCCGGATGGCCAGTTCCATGCTGCCAGAATAGTCACATGTGCCCCGTGTCCAATAGCCCTTCCACCTTAATTTTCTGCAGTGTCTCGGTGCTGAAAAATAAATAAGACATGTCAAGAGAGGTCGAGAGGACTTCACGGAGGTTGCCCAGTTGGCCTCCTTCAGCGCCTCACTCCTCTCTTCTTCATCCTTAGACATCACACAAGTCAGGGCATCTGTAGAGATCATCTTAGTGACAGGGAACCGATCTTCTAGTTGCATGGGTGGGAGCACAACAATATTGTCATTGGCAAGAACTGTTAGGAGGGTTGGAACTACCATCACACCCCTTTTCACTGCCGAGAAGTGAGAGACTAATAAGTACATTTGTTCTGGGTATACATTTGCAGATGGCCTAACTCTGACCAACTGTTCGTATGAACTGAGATGGGTTGAGGGGTGAATGACAGGTAGAGTAATCCACTCCAACAGGGTGCATTGCTGCCTAACTGGGGCTGGAGCCAGTGCGGGCTCCCACACTACGGGGTAGCTGGGCGCGGTGTCGGGCGCAGGATGGAGCGCAACTGAGGGGATACTTGTGTCTTCGCACCCCCCTGAGCGCTCTGCCCCCCGTTTCCCAAGTGCTCACAAGAGCACGGACGAAGGTCTGGTAGCGAACTAAAAGTCACTTTCCTTTTAAGTCCTGGGGATTTCCTTGGGGGAAGAGGCTCGCCATTAATATTGTTTAGAGACCTACAACTGGCGGACCAATGGCAGCCCTTCCCACACCTCCTGCAAAGTGTCTTTGGGACATTAGGTTCTGTCATCAACTCTGGGCAATGTTTTTTGAAATGACCTTTTTGCCCACAGTTAAAAAAGGACTGGGATCTGGTGAGAGCGGTGTCTAATAGGCGTGCTTTATGGGATCCAGAGCCAATGTTCTTACAGACCTCTATCATCTCAAGTAGTGAGGGGTTTTTCAACATTTTGAGAGTTTTTTGAGAATCCTCATTTGCTTTTTCAATTACCAATTTGTTAAAGAGGATATCTTGACTTTCCTTTTGTTGGACTTGTCAGCTAATAGCCTCTTTTAATCTAGTAATGAAGTCCACAGAAAGTTCTTTTGGACCTTCGTTAATTGGCGTAAATGAGGGAGTCTGAACATATGCACCTGCTACCCTTTTAACTGCTTCCATAGCCAATTCTTTTGATACATCCAAATATTTCAAATCAATTCTGGACTAATCGTCTCTACTTGAGTAATGCCCTTCACCATAAAGCATGTCTATAGCCTATCTCACCGGTATTCCCCTCCGCTCCATCTTTTCATTGACATAAGTAGTGATTAATTTCTTCCACTCCATCTCAAAGATGGATGATTGTACAGTGGAAAATAGTCCATTTACAACTGCATGAATATCGTATGGGATTAGTCTATATGCTAAAAAGAATGATTCCAAAAGGCCAACCGTGAAGGGCGCTCCTAGCCCCTACTGAATGATAGCTTTTTTAATGTCCTTCAGCACTAGGTAAGAGATAGGCCTCCACTCCAGGGCCTTGCCCTCCTCTAAATAAATTGGAAAGGCCTTAAGGAAGTCCATGTTGTTGGCTTGAGCAGCCTCTTCCCTGAAAGACTTCCAGATGTTCGGATGATTTGCCTGCCTCTCAGGGGAGTGCTGCAAATAGTCTGAGTCAGTGTCTTGTGACTGGTAGGTGGGGTAGGGCTCAGTGGAATGGGCCCTATGGGCGCAGCCATGTTTTCGGAAACTTGACCTGACCTTTGGCCTGGCCCCACCCCTAACTTCCCATCTGTCCCTGGAGGGGGTTCTTTCTAGGGAGGAGACGGAGTTGGAGGGAGAGGACGTACATGTGGGCGTGTCGGGGGAGGAGTCCCTGACGCGCGGAGGCGGAGGTGGTCTAGGAGGTGGTGCTGAGGGAACCCACCCCCTTCTTTCCCACGCTGGCGTTTCCCGTGGCAGCTTTTCCCGCCTTCGCTCCTTGCGCGTCTCGCCTCTCTCCTTCCTGACGCCATTTTGTTTGTGCTGTGACGCAGTTTCTCTCTCCCCCCCCCGCCACCTTGTGACTGGTGAAGTTTGTGTGCCGAAGTAGTTGTCGTTTTGACAGATAGCAGTTTCGTATATGATTTCTTGGGTTTTGTGGATTTTTCGTGGAGACCACTGTCCAGGTTCATCATCTAGTGCTGTAGCACCATCAGAACTAGCCTCCAGGTAATCAGTGCTTCTTTTGCAGTCCGGTCCCCTCTATCATTATCTCACCACAGATCATAGCCTGTCGACTGCCACTGGTCCACAGAGGTGTTTTCTGCAAGTATGTCACCCTTGGCAAGCACTTGGCAAGCACTTTAGCGTATTTTTTATCCAGCGGGTGACCGTGTTCAATGATAAAGTCTTTGAGTCGTCAGTAGACGAACTTTTGGGAGGTGGACAACGAGAGTCCCATGGTGACTACAATGACTTCAACAATTGTCCATGATGTTATTAGTCCTCCCTTTTATGGGTTTGGGTGTCGGGGTGGGAAGTGGAATGTCCCCAGCTGCTCACCTTCTCCAGTGCATCGACTGGTGTGACCCGATGGTCCACAGTCATCCATCCAGCTGAGGAGGACCGGCGGGGTGGACACCACTCCTGGTGTCACCTGAGTCCCAGCAAGCACACAGGAGTTCTCTCAATGTGAGAGACCTTCTACTGTGCCCTGCAGTTGGGCGCCATCTGCCACGGCCCGAGGGTAAAAGGAATAGGGACACGACACTGCACAAAAGGGTTCTGACACAGTAGAAGGTCAGGGGATTAACATAGGAATAGCTGTAGGGGCACACTGAACATAGTAATAAACTGGGGAATAATGTGAAAGTTCGTGAATTATTAAGTCGTTCAGGCTCTGTACAAGTCCCTCCAGGCCTTGAATATCTCCCAGTCGCTTTGCTGTTCCTCCTCAATCTTCCTCTTTAGATGGGGTGATTTTCTTGGGAAAAGGAGTTCGCTGTTAATGTTTGTAAGGGATCTACAATGAGAGGACCAGTGGCGGCCCTTCCCACATCTCCTACAAAGTGTCTTGGGGCATCGGATGCTGTCGTTAGCTTAGGGCAATGTTTTTTCATGTGTCCCTTTTGTCTGCAGTTGAAACAAGATTGGGACCCAATCAAGGCGGCAGCAAGCAAGTGGGCCTTGTGTGACCCTTACCCTACATTCTTGCATGTTTCTATCATTTCAAGTAGGGTAGGGTTTTTTAACATTTTTAGAGCCTTCTGGCAGTCTTCATTAACTTTCTTGTACAGTAATTTATTAAATAGGATATCCTGGCTCTCTTTTTGTTGAACTTGACGAGTTATCACCTCTTTTAGCCTTGTTATAAAATTAACAGAAGGTTCTTTCGGGCCCTGATTGATGAGGGTGAACGGTGGCGTTTGGACATAAGCGTCCACCACCCTCTTTAGGGCCTCAACTGCGAGCTCTTTGGTAACATCTAGATACTTTAAGTCTATTCTCGATTGATCGTCCCTGCTCGCATAGTTTCCTTCTCCATATAACATATCTACTGCCTGTCTAACCGGAATCCCTCTTCTCTCCATCTTTTCATTTATGTATGTAGTAATTAGTTTTTTCCACTCAGTTTCAAAAACTGAGGACTGCACCGTGGATAGCAAGCCATTGATTACTGCCCTGATGTCATGGGGGATTAATCGGTATGCCAGGAAAAAAGACTACAGGAGTCCCACAGTGAATGGGGCTCCAAGGCCATACTGTATGATGGCCTTTTTTATATCCTTTAACACTGGATAGGATATGGGCCTCCATTCAGGAGCACAGCCTTCCTCTAAGTAAATGGGGAAAGCCTTCAGGAATTCCACATCATTGGCTTGGGCCACTTCATCCCTGAAGGCTTTCCAAATGTTCGGATGTTTAGTGTGGCTTTCCGGTGAATGATGTGAGTAGTGTGTGTCTATGCCCTGAGTGTAATGAGTGTCATAAGCTTGGGTGGAATAGGCCTCATGGGCGCGACCATGTTGCCAGAAGTTTGTCCCAGAACTAGGCCTGACCCCGCCCCTTTCTCCCCTCTACCCCGGAAGGGGGATGGGTCTGGTGAGGAGGCAGAACTGGAGGGAGAGGGTGTGAGTGAAGGCGTGTCAGAGGGGGAGTCTGTGCTGTACACAGGTGGAGGTGGAGGCGGCCTAGGAGGTGGTGCTGAAGGGACCTGCCTACTCTTTTCCCGCGCTGCTCTTTCCCGCCTTCACCCTTCGCGTGCTTTTCCTCCCTCATCCCCGATGCCATTTTGTGAAGGTTGATGAGACGTCGCGCCCTCTCTGTCCCTCCTGTCATTTTGGGACTTTCGGGGTCCATCTTTCGCAGAGGTTCGGGACTTAGCAGATAGTTGTTTGGCATTGGTCTTTCTAGATTTAGTGGTATTTTCATGGAGGCAGTCATTTGTGTTCATCATCTAGTGCTGTAGCACCATCAGAACAAGCCTTCAGGCAATTAAGGCTTCCTTTGCATTTCGGTCCCCCCTTTCATTTGCTCGCCAAATTTCATAACCGATCGTTTGCCAGTCATCTACAGATGTGTCTTCCAAGAGCACACGACCTTTATGATCTAACCAATGGCGAGTGCTTTAGCCGATTTTTTTGTCCAGGGGGTGACCGTGCTCAGTGATAAAATCCTTGAGCCTTCTGTATACAAATTTCTGGGAAGTTGACAGCCAGAGTCCTATGATGATGTTAACTCGACTTCTGGAAAACTGTCCTCGCCGTAGCGACTCTTCCCTTATGGGGGTTGGAGTTGGGGGTAGGAGTAGGGGTGTCCCCAGCTGCTCACCTGTCCGGTGTGAAGACCCGCGCGACCCGACGGTCCGTAGTCTGCTGTCCAGCCGAGGAGGACCGGCGGGGTGGTCACCTCTCCAGGTGTCACCTGAGCCCTGGTGAGCACAAGGGAGTTCCTCTAATGTAAAGTACCTTCTACCTTGCCTCACGTCCTGGGCACCTTCTGCCACGGCCCGGTGGGGATGGAGATAGGAACACGACACTGCACAGAAGGGTCCGACAAGATAGAAGGTCGGGGTGCAATGGCCACTTTGTTAAGGGAGGACTGGGACTTATCTAGGGTTCAGCTGAGGGAGGCTTGGTAACCGAGGCAGAGCATGAGACGGACACTTCAGGGTGTAACAGGATAGGAGAACAAAGGGAAAGGAGGGAGGAACTTGGGAGGAGTTGGGAGTCAAGGACCAATGGGAGCTCACTCCGCACTGCGGCACTTCTCAGCCAGTCAGTGTGGGATGAGCGGGAAAGCAGGGGAGAGCAAGGGAGTAAATAACTTTTGGGCAGGAAAAACTGTGGGCAAGCCCAGGCAAGTTCTGGGTAATACATTTCAAGGGAACTAATACAGAGATATATGGGGAAATACATTAAATGGGGTTCAGAACGGGGATATAAACGTGGAAGTCCATAGACTGTCGTCTCTTCAAGCACCATACAGGTCCCTCCATGCCTGGAAGCGTTGCCATTCCGATTCTTGTTCCTCCACAGCAAATAATGCCCTATTTGCAAATGTATCAGTGCTGGGCTAAGAGGGGGTCCTGCTGGAAACCAGTCTGGGTTCAACCCTGAATTAACATCCTGATGGTGAGGCAACCCCTGGAGTCCAAGGACTGTCAGTCCATCACTTTATTCTATAAAGTTCCAGTCCCCTTTCACAGGGGCAGGTTCTTCCAACATAACCCTTCTTGGGGTGTATGAGTGGAGATTCCCCCCTTGGCTGAGGGCCTCCCCAAGGTCATTCCTTGAGGGTGAGAGCAGAGATCTCCCCACGAGCGTTGGTCTGAGTGAGTCACATCCATCTCTAATTAGTAACTATTGCTTTTTTGCCAGCTTTAGTATAATTGCTTCAACAATTGCTTTAGTGTAGTGCACTGTCCTATCTTATAGTATACTACTCGTAGTTTTAGTATTTGTATTGTGTAGTAAATAATTCTGATTAAAATCTTTTGTCTGATCATCTGTGATAATGAATAGTTCATTTTATATCAATATATCTGATTTGCCATCATTAAAACCTGCAGGACAAAAGTGGTTGAATCACAGCTCTGTAATTCCTTAAATTCCAACCCTTGGCATAATCCTGGTCTGAGATTGGATCCAGGCACCCCCAGGCTCCTCTCTGAGCAGGAGTTTAGAAAGCCAGGGAGTCCTTTCTGCACCTCGGGACTCAAGGGCAGGACTTCTTTAATGAACTTTAAACCTTCCACTCCCCTCCACGACAGGTGCCCCCCCCAACCCCAGCAGCCTCCAACACCCCAGAGGAGGTTGGGAGCTCAAAGAGCCACCCCAGCCTTCCCTTTCCCAACCCCTCTGTGCGCAAAGACCCCCATGGGACTGTCCATCCTGTCAACCAACCCTTACTTTTCCCCTCTTCTGCCTATTCCCCCCCTTTCCCATCATCTCCTGAGTCCCCAACCCCCCCCTGATCATTTTGGGGGTCACAGTCCTCACTGTGCCTCCTCTCCCACCCCTTACACATCAGCCCCCCAGTCCCCAGCTACCTCCTGATCACTTCTGGGGGTCCCACCTTCCCCTTTTCCTCACTCTTCTGACCTCTCCCACTCATTTCCCATTGTCCCTCAATCCTTGTGGTCCCCTCTCTCACTCCATTTTTGGGGGGGTCCCACTCCCCTCCCACTCAGTGTGGGGGTCCCACTACCCCTTTTATCCCCTTTCCCACCATCCCCCCTCTTGTTGTCCCCCCCTCAGCTGAGAGCTCCTCACCCACAGCCAGGGGTCCCAGCACCACCAGTGCCCCTAAAGGTCCCCCCAAACAGAGGTTTGAGGGGATCCTGGGTGGGCTCTGAATGGGTTTAGGGGATCTTTGTGGAGCTGTGGGGTGGTTTAGGGGGGTCCCGACACCTTTCAGGGTGTGCTGGATGCTGTGTTGGGGTGCAGGTGCCACCCAGAACTCCCCTAGAGCAGGTTGACATGGGGGGGACACAGGGGGCTCCCCATTCCTGATCCATCCTGGGGCCAGTTCTGCCCCCCAGGATGCTCCCACTGCCCCCCACTAACTGGGACTGTTATTGGAGGAAGGTGGAGAACTGGGAAGCTTTATTGGGATCACTGTGAGCAGACGGGTGATGTTGGAATAAAAGCAGGGATGGGGGGGACCCGTGACACCCCCAAATTCAGCACGGGGACTGCTGGGGGGGTCCTGGCTGGGCCCAAGCCCACGGGGAGGGGCTGTGGCTGCCGGGGGCTCAGGAGCTCTGTGGGGAGAAAAGGGGGTGCAGGGGTGACACAGACACTCTGGGGTGGGGGGGAACGACCCCTGGGGACCCCCCTCACCTTGGTAGAAGCCAAGCCCCAGCACCAGGACAACAAAGCCCAACATGAAGCCCCCCCCCGAACCCCTACTTAGAAGCAATTTCTTAGGTTAATTAACCACTGATTCGTTAGTCCCGGAGATGCTTTGTTCCTCTGTCAGGCACAGGCCAGCACGGGCCCTGCAGGCTGCGCTGTGTCCTGCCAGGACTCAACACATTGGTTTTATTTGCCCCAAAAAGGGAAAAAGGCCCCAAATCCCTTTGGCCGAGCACAGGAGGGGACGGATTTCTGGCAGAAAACTCCAGCAAATGGTTTTGCCCATCTTGGGAAGCACAAACCAAACCCAACTGAGGTGAGACCCCTGCAGCAGCACTTGTGTGCCATCCCCATCTAAAGCCCTCCCTGGGGCGCTCGAGGGTGGCTGGGCAGACTGGGAGCACTGGGAAGGGGCCCCGGCTTGGGGCTCAGCTCCCAGGGCAGACCCACATCACCCCCAGGAGCTCCAGGGCTCCGACAGCCGGGATGGAATATACGCGGGAGGAGCAGGGGAAGGGGATGGGACTGCTGGTGCTGTCTGGAACAGGGCTGGCAGCAGGGGGATTTCATCAGGATTTGCATCAAGAAATAGTAAAAACAGAAAAGAGAAGCAGAGCAGCAGCACTGGCACCGTAACACTGATGGGTGTCCCATAAGGACATTGCACATTCATAAGGCAGCACACGCTTGAGGTTTTATACACAGTGTTATATATATATATATATATATATATATATATATATATATATATATACACACACACACATACAAGGTTGGTGTATAAACATGTGGTGTTAGTTCTGAGATGGTTCTAGAAGGACAAAGAAACCCACAGCCCTATCGGTGGAGAGGCATGGACAGGCTGCTCACAGACCAATTTGATCAACAAAATGTCCGCTTTATTAGAAGAAAGACACTTTATATACTGCTTATTACACCCAGACACGTGATTCTTCTTCACACAGCATTGGATACATAAGGAAAACATACTTTGTTGTCCACTGCTAATTGGACCACAACAGGTGTCCGTATGAGCTGAGGGCACACGTTCACCCTCTTGAAACTCCACCTTAACCTTGGCAGGGAGCCTTCTTTGTCCTAACTTCAAAGGTTGTAGCCATATTAGCTACGCAGTTCTTTTACTGTCTGCACCCAGCCATGCCAAGGCAAGGCTCACAGAAATACAAAGGAAATTGTTCATGCACAATCTCTATTCTCTCAACAAATCCCCCGTTCAAGTTTGAACAATTTAAATTGCATTTCTGTAACATTATTTATTGTACCCATAACATATCAATAAACACAATTACATACAATAATACCACTACCATTAACAAACTTAACAACCTATTAATTTCAGGGTTTGTGCTCTTAAGTTTTGCTTAAAGGTTATTCTAAATGTAGGGTTTATTCTTGAAAGTTTTATTCAATCTAAAACACTTCTGTAAATGGAACTCCATTCAATTTAGGGTTATGTATCTTCTGTTTTTATTTAAAGGTGTTTGTGTATTTGTGATCATATATTCACACACATACATACACACATACACTTTCATTTGTACACATTCACACGGTGGCCACCATCATCCATACTTCACACAGACATACTTCTGAGTTCCATGTCACTGTGTTTTATAAACCAAGAACTATAATAATTCTTTAGTACCTTATAATGCTAAAGCTTCTTAACCAAACAGATAAACTTTCTTTTACTAATACATAGTGAATAATCTAAAGTTCATACAACACACTCCCCTTAATTCTTAACTTCTATAATTTATGTGCCTTAAAAGATATACTAAAAAGGTGTGTATAATACTGAAAAAAACTGTGCTCAAAAAACTGTGTTCTAATAATACTGAGAAAACTGTTAGCTACAACAGCTTTTGGTGGTGCTATTGTTACCTGCAGGAACAACGTCAACCTTGTTCTAAAGTACCAGCTTCTTTCCAAGGCTTCTTTCGTCGTGCAGATAGCCAGTGAACACTTGTGTGCAAAAAACAACACAGGAAACACTTTTGCAGGTTAATCGAGGGGGTTGACGCCCTTTTCTCCCCCTTTCTGCTTTGCAAAAGTGTGTTAAGAATTCTCGAATTATTAATCTCTTTACCTAATGCCCTTGTGCTAATAATAAAAAATCTATAGAAGTTCTATTTTGTAACAGAGTATGTCGTATACCACTTACATATTCTAACAATTTTGATAAAATTATAGGTTAACATGTTCAAAAATTTTGCTTTTATGTTCTCATCTAGGTCAGGATGGGTGTTAATTACATGATGTAACCGATCAATAGACTTCCCAAATGGCTCTGTTGGTCTCTGTCGTACTGTAGTAAAAGACGGAGCTGTCTTATCATCATGTACTGCTTGTATTGCTTTTCTGATTACAACTCACAGCTGTGCTACAAAAGCTGTTTCAGCTGAAAAGTACAGATTCTTTTAATAAGTATAAAGTAAAATATATGGGTGAAAAGAAGAAAGCTGGGAAAAAAAGACACGATGTACAGAAGTCAGGAGTTTCTCAAAACATGAATAACAATGAGGAAGGAAGTCTTTTGGGCCAGGGCATCTGTCAGGATTAAAATAGTACTAAACGGACTCAGAGGATAAGGAATAGAGCTCTGATTGTCAATTCACTGTTTTTCTCTTGCTGTAGTGTCAGGCTATGAGCTCCAAAAGATAAAGTAGTTATAAAACTTAACTGCTGGTGGGGAAAGAATAACATGTTAGTTATCATTTTAATGTTATAGGATGTTATCAACGTAGAAGAAAATAAATGCTATAACACAGATGTAGTATAACTTGATTTTAATCCATACTGAGTAATTATAGACTTAGCTTCTTTTAGCATCTTCCAATCTAAAGCTTCCCAGGAATTATTTTCCCTACCGTCTAGAAACACAGGGAAAGCACCAGCTTCTGAGAGCGCAAAGTCTCCATCAGAAGCAGCACTTCGTATGATGGTTTTCTAATTCTGTGCTGCATTACCGCTCACCCCCTCCCTCCTCCTCCCCCCACCCGGCAAGGCTGGAAACCCTGTACCAGAAGTTTCCACCCCGGGCATCCTAGGAGAGGGGTTTGGAGGAGGTGATGTCGGCACTGTAGACGAAGCTGGAACATTGGAGAAGTGTGGATTTTGTGGAGTGAGCTGTCTCCCTGCTACTTCGCTTTCAAGCTCTTGGAAGCGATGCAGCAGATTGTTCATTTGCAAGGATAGCAACATCTTCGTTTCTATCTCCCGAGCTCTCATCATCTCATCTCATCCAGCTCCCGTCCCTGCTGGAACGGCAGCTTTCGCCGGCTTAGCGGCGGCTTTTTTTTTTTTTTTTTTTTGAACAGCTTCTGTCGCTACGGCGGCGACTCTCGCTGGCTTCCTGCCAGGTTCGGGTGCGACGGCTCCTGATGACGTAGTTCAGGCGCCATGGTGGTTCCAGGTGACAGCGCTGCAGCGCCCCCTGGTGACGCGGAGCTCCCGCAGTGTTGTTGTTGCGGGTGACGCCTGCGCAGGAGCAGCTGCGGCTCAGCACCCAGAGCGGGCACGGGGGAGGACGGCGCTGACTGCGCAGCCGCGGTGAGGGGCGGTGCCGCTGGCGCGGCTCCAGCCGTGTCCTCCACAGCTGTTTTTGCTGCGGTCTCTACATTTTCTGCCAGCACAAGCACGGTGCTAAACGGAGTTGATCCCGTTGCTTTTAAGGTTTTTAGCGTTCATGACTTTGAAATCGCGGGCGCCAGGACCTCCCCGAAGGCAGACTGATCAGCACGGGGATGCACCGCGGTCCCGCCGTCTCCCGACAGCGATGCTGTGGAATATTGGTGCAAAAAAAAATAACTCAGGAGCAGTTAATTAGGGGTGAGATAAGGAAAGGGTTTAATTGTGCCAAGGCAATAGATGTTACAAGACGTGTGCACCCCTGGGCCGGAGATGTTGCATTTTATAATACCATCTGTCCAATCCCAAGTGTGTCCACCCTGTAGCCTTTGCTCTGGACCGCCCTGGGTCCACCCCCTGAGAATTGAGTCTGGGGGCTTTGGGGGACCACCTCTTCATCATCTTCACCATCTTCAGAGCACAAAGGGTACATAGTCACCTAGTTCTTGACTCTGTTTTGTTACTCAGGCCCTGATACGGCTGTTCTCTAAACAGCATAGGCCTTGCCTTGACAAGAGACTAAACATTGCCACTGAATTCAGGGGTAGATTTGATATGGGGAGCATAGAATGGGGTAAGAGGGTTAAGGAATGTGTAAACTACTTGTACTACAGGGAAAGGGAGTGAGGGCTGCTGCTTTTAAAATCTACTTCTACTACTTATAAAACTTCCAAAAATTAGAAAAATAAAAACTAATAGGGGCTTAAGGCATTAGTTCTACCTGAACATTTATGAGTTCCCACCGCTCAGTGCTAAATTCTTGCAGCGATTTAACTGCCAGATGCCAAATCATAGGATATTTTTTAGCGACTTTTGATCCCTTAGAAATTTCTTCCCATAACTGTTCCTTTATAGTCCCGTGTGGACACCTCAAAGGCAGCTTGAGCTGTGGGGATTAGTTTCTTTGCTCTAGTCCATACTAGTAACCCTTTAAGGGCTTTTTCATCATAATTAGAATCTCTCTCAGAGAGAATTAAATGGAGGAGCTTTTCCACCGCCTCTTCTTCTTTTGAAAGAGCGGACCCCATAATCCCCCCTCAGCTGCTCACCTGGCCAGGGCAGGATTTAGCTGTACTGCACGCAACTTTAAATTCTTGGCGCTGGGGGCAACGCTGCACCTTCGACTGCTTCCCTCAGCTCCTTCCATTCACCTTCCATTCATCCCACAGAATGACGAATCAGGAGTCCCTGTTTTTTCGGGCACCAGATATCGGTGGGAGAGGCACGGACAGGCTGCTCACAGACCAATTTGATCAACAAAATGTCCGCTTTATTAGAAGAAAGACACACTTTATATACTGCTTATTACACCCAGACGCATGATTCTTCTTCACACAGCGTTGGATACATAAGGAAAACATACTTTATTGTCCACTGCTAATTGGACCACAAGAGGTGTCCATATGAGCTGAGGGCACACGTTCATCCTCTTGAAACTCCACCTTAACCTTGGCAGGGAGCCTTCTTTATCCTAACTTCAAAGGTTGTAGCCATATTAGCTACGCAGTTCTTTTACTGTCTGCACCCAGCCATGCCAAGGCAAGGCTCACAGAAATGCAAAGGAAATTGTTCACGCACAATCTCTATTCTCCCAACACAGCCCCAGTCCAAGCAGGGGCAGCACATCAGCTGCCCCATCATCTCCCCCTCCTGCAGGTTCATCTCCTTGAGACCAGGCACTGAGGTGACCCCAAGACCTGTCACTGAGGTATTCATGAGACAAAGGCACTGAGGTGAGGCTGAGAATAAGTGCGAGGCAGAGGTACTGCTGAGGAAGGAAAGCCCCGTGGTGGGGAAGAGGCCAAGCTGTGAGTGCCCAGCCCCGAGAAGGTGCTGTCTCCGTCCCCTGTGTGCCAGGTGAGCTGGGGCTTTGCTACAGAGCTGCGGGCACTGATTTGAGCAACTCCAAGTGCTGAGATGGTGGGCACCCAGGAACACAAACTGTGCCTGGCCACGGAGCCTGCAAGGAGGAGCAGAGAGAGCCCTGGCAGTGTGGGGGACCAGGTTGTCCCTGTGCCTTCCCCTGCAGGCCCTGGCTGTCCCTGCTGGGCCCTGTCCATCCCCATCAGTCCCTGCCTGTCCCCCCCGGGCTGAGCTCCCCCCAGGAAGTGCCGTGGAGCTGAAACTGCTGCCATCCCCCCCTGCAGCCACTGCCCCAGCCAAGGGAGCAACAAAGGCAGGGCCAGGAGCAGAGGCAGCAGCAGGGGAACCCCGGGGGGACCGGGAAGCTCTTGTGTGGGGCAGGAAAGAGGCACTGGGCATGAGGCCGGGGCTGTGCTGAGCAGACCCAGCCCTCACATCCCCCCAGCCAACGCCGGCTGCCCGGGGGGCTTGGGAGGGACCCCCAGCCCGTGTGCCCCACACTGAGCTGGCAGAGAGAGAGCCAAGGGATAGGGCCACGGGTGAGGGACAGCCAGGGACACAGCCAGGGACACAGGTGAGAGACAGCCAGGGACATACCCAGGGACACAGGTGAGGGACAACCAGGGACACAGCCAGGGACAGAGGTGAGGGCACGTATCATAGGTTTGAAAAGAGATGTTGGATTTTTTTCTCAATGTCCCCCCAGCCTCATCTGTTTCTTCTGGGATGGAGGGGGGACAGAGCGAAGCTGCTTGTGCTGGGCAGTGCAGGAGCAGGGGGGGAGGACGAGCTCTTTCGGGAAACGCAGTTGCTGGGGGACGGCTGGGAGTCGGTGGTTTGGGGGTTTTGGGTTTGGTCCGTGGACTGGACAGAGCAGGGAGCCCGGTTTGGGCTGCCTCCTTTTCTTTTCCTGAGAGGAAATTCTTTTCCCCACGGGACACCTCGCGGAGAACAACTGAGTGAGAGAGACCGACCCATCTCAGAGCGAGGTATTCTGCATTCAGACTGCCCTGTAGGAGGCCGGGGATTGAGAACAATTGAAAGTGTATACAGTCGTGTATAAGCTGTGAAGGTCATGTCTGACCACAAAGGACAAAAGGAGAAAAACAGGATACAGGGTTGGGTAGTGAAAACAGGAACTTGTAGCCGCAGAGCATAAATGACGCCAATATAGGTAACCAATGAGGAGAACCCCTTGTTCGCATGTCCTGCGCGTGGACAAGGTGATGTAGCCAATAAGCTTATGCGTGAATGCGTGTACGGAAGTAAGACAAGCATAAATGTAATCATAGAAGCTGCAATAAACGGAGTTATGCAAGCTCAATAAAAGGAGTTCTGCTTTACCTACATCGTGTCGGTGTTCTTGCTCCCCTCCACCTGGCCGCTACATCGTGGTGACCCCGACGTGATACTGCACGGACGCTGCGGACGAGAGAAGGTGGAGTCATCCCGGCTGCTTAGAAGCAGGCTGCTCGAGAAGCAGGATCCTTGTTGTGGCCACGGCTGACCGGTGAGTCAGGCAGACTGCGGTCTGGACGGGATGGGTGCCGCTGTATCAGCGATAGAACGAGCAACAGTCGACGAGTTGCTCAGTGTAGCGAGAAAGACTGGGCACACGCTCCCTCGAGCTGAGCTCGTGGACTTTTTGTATTGGTGTCGGAGACGCGGTCTCTTGACTTCTTCTGATCAATTGTTTGATATCGAACATTGGGAAAAAATTGGGTCTGAGTTATGGCAAAGTGTGCAGAACGGCCAGAAGGGGAGCAAGCAGATGGCGCAGATCTTCCGTATAGTTCGGGAGATGATTCAACAAGTCCATGCTGATGCTGAAATCGCCACTGCTTTGCAAAAAGCCCTCGATTGTTCTACACAGCCGAAAGAAAAGGAAAAGGACGAGGAGGGAAAGGACAGTTGTTCGACGTTGATAGACTGGGAGGCAAAACCTGATCTTCCCCCAGCGTACCCCCCAATAGCAGCGCCTATGTTCCGGGGAGAGTTTGAGGATCTCATTCCCCCTTGGAATCCCAACGAGACATCTGCTGGGGCGGCTACTGCGCCTTCTGCGCCCCCTCCCCCGGAGGCTATGGAGGTTGATCCAGCTACAATACCGTTACCGGAGGAGGCAAAGGCGTCCCCCCAGAATCCTCTTGTCGACGAACTGCGGTTGCAACGAGAGCAGATGGCTAAGTTGCTGGGGGCAATGCAAGAAATAGACTCTAAAGGGGGGAAGGGTAAACTGCGGGAGTTATATGAGAAAGCAGCCAAAGCAGTACAACAAGGGATACAGAACATAGAGGAGCAGCTTAATAAGCAGGAGGTGGCTGCATGGGGAGGCAGAGAGGGAATCAAACAAGCCATTTTGCAGCGTCAATTGACGATAGAGGAAGGGCAGCAGTTGATACGGCGGCTTCTAGGGGCACCAGAGGGGCTTACTACGGGAGAGAAAGAACAACTGCGAAGGGCATTAGACGGAGGTAGAGAAGAAAGAGATGTCCGTAGGAAACTGCCTTTTGATAGACGTGGGCCAGATCCTTTTGATAGGCGTGGGACAGCTGGAGTACAGGGGCCTCCGCGAGATGATTCCTTTGATCCGACCAGGCGCTGGAGGGGTATATTAAGTCAGGCAGATTTACAGGGGACAGTAGTCTTTGAACCCATCATTGCGGCTCCAGTACGCGTCCAACCCAATGGTCGTAAGGAGTGGGTTCCCTTAGATTGGGCAATGATTTCAAAGTTACAGCAAAACATTCTGACCTATGGACCCAATAATTCCGCTGTAAGGCGACAATTGAGTGCCTATTTAAAATATCAAGAGCTTACTCCTGCCGACATAAGGTTAATCATGGAAATTTTGCTTGGTGCCACCGCTTATACGTTTTTTTTAGTGAAGTGGCAAGAGCACGTGGAGGCATATCAGCTGCAGAACCTTCAGTTACACGATGATGACCCCCTAAAAGTAGCTACGCTAGACATGATGATGGGGTCTGGTCAGTTTAGAGATCCGCAACGCCAGGCAGCTTTGCACCCTAGGATTTTAGGACAAGCTAAGGCTGCTGCGTTAGAAGCTTTTCACGCCCTGCCGCAGATAGGGAAACCGAAACCCCCCTATCTGCAGATACGGCAGGGAGAAAACGAATCCTTTTTAGGATTTGTTGACAGAATCCGTGAGGCAATTGATGTTGCACCCGATATAGATGCAACCATTAAAACAACATTACTTAAGGAAGTTGCATCCCAAAATGCGAATCGCACTTGTAAACGTTTGTTGCAGTCGCTTCCACAGGGTTCCACCTTAGTACAGATGATCGATCGCTGTTCGCGCGCACCTTGGGAGGAAGAAAAACAGCGCGCTAACATACATGCAGTCGCTCTTGCCGCCGCGTTAAAACAAAGCGGGCTTGGGGCCGGTGATAGGGGCCCCGGAGGATGCTTTACTTGTGGTCAGTTGGGACATCTTAAGCGTGACTGCCCAAAAAAGGGAAAGCAAAAAACAGGAAAGGAGAAAGGAACAGAAGGGAGTATTGTTTGTCGTCGATGTGATAAGTTGGGACACAAAGCTACAGAATGTAGGTCCCGCTTTAAGAGAGATGGAACCCCTTTGCCGGTAAACTCCCAGCGCCGCGGGTTGGGCGTGGCTGCAAAGTACCCAACAATTCGACCTCTGGTAGCAGCCATGGGCCAATCCACTCCGGTGACAGACCCGCTGACTGCCTCCATGAACCCACTGCAACCACTGCAGGAGGAGCGGGAATCGATCTGGCCCTGGCAAGAACAGTAACTGTATCTGATTCTTCTGTAACATTGCTTGATTCTACTATGTCAGGATCGTTGGGAAATGGGTTAAGTGCATTACTCTTGGGTCGCTCCTCAGCAAGCAGACAGGGAATATTCGTACTCCCCAATGTAGTCGAAACTGATTATACCGGTCCCATTAAAATTATGGTCCAAGTGTTTGCACCCCCTGTCACTCTCCATCAAGGAAGCAAAATTGCTCAATTGATCCCTTTTAAAGTTCAAGTGCCAGGGGACCAAGGGCTTAGCAGTACCAGTAAGACAGCCAAGCCCACGGTTTTCTTTACCACCGTGCTTACTGAGGAACGACCGACACGTTCTGTCAGTATTAGCCTACGGGAAGAACCTCTTTACCCTGCACCTGTCAAGATGATGCTTGATACTGGAGCTGATGTTACTGTTATACCCTTTAACTGTTGGCCATCGCACTGGCCGCTAAAACCTGTAGCTATCACAGTTAGTGGGGTTGGAGGAGATTCGAGGTCTATGCAAAGTCAAGAGTTCGTCTGTTTTAAAGATGAGGTAGAAGGCCGAAAAGCTTGGGTAAAACCTTATGTTATGCATACCCCTCTTTGGATCCTGGGTAGAGATGCTATGAGTCAATGGAACATAACGCTGAGTACTCAAAATTTACGGTAGTGGCCATTGAGGAGCAGAGGCCACCCATATTAAAAATTCAATGGATATCTGACAATCCTGTATGGGTGCCTCAATGGCCTTTGTCAGGCGAAAAGTTGCAGGCCATAGAAGCTCTGGTTGCAGAACAATTAGAGCTGGGACATATTAAGCCCTCTGTCAGTGAATGGAATACTCCTATTTTTACCATCAAGAAAAAATCTGGGAAGTGGCGTTTAATACATGACCTCAGGGCTGTTAATACCATAATGAAGCCCATGGGAGCTTTACAACCTGGCCTCCCTTCCCCAGCTGTGTTGCCACAACATTGGCAGCTGTTAATTATAGATTTGAAAGATTGTTTTTTCTCTATTCCACTGCACCCCGAAGATTCTGAAAGGTTTGCATTTACAGTCCCTCAGAAAAATGCTGGGAGACCTTCAAAACGATATGAATGGGTTGTCTTGCCACAAGGAATGCGAAATAGTCCTACGATTTGCCAATGGTATGTAGATTTAGCCTTAGATGCCTGGGTAAAAGAACACTCTGAATACATTACATATCATTATATGGACGATATTTTAATCGCATCTCCTACTGCCATACTGGCAGACGCTGAGAAGGATTTAATTTTTAGACTACAACAATTTGGACTCACTGTTGCCCCCGAAAAGGTTCAACGACGACCCCCATGGCAATACTTAGGAATGCTTGTGACCGAAACGCGAGTTCGACCAGGAAAATTGCAGTTACAACGTTCAGTTTCTACTATAAATGATGTTCAAAAGCTAGTTGGAGATATACAATGGATTAGGACATGGTGTGGTATTACAAATGAAGACTTAGCTCCTCTTTTTTCTTTACTGAGTGGTTCCCAAGAACCATGGGAACCTAAAACATTGACCCCAGAAGCGCAGCAGGCGCTCACAATCATCGAGCAAAAACTAGACCAACAACAAGTTTATCGCTATAACCCCTCTTATCCTATCTGTATTATCATTTATGGTTCCTTTTCTAGCAGGTCAGCTCTCATTGCTCAAATTCAAGAAAAGAGTCTAACCATTTTGGAATGGGTGTTTCCCTCTTTTTTGCCCCCTACTACCATACTGATTCCCCAAGACTATGTGGGCTTGTTACTATTAAAAGCTAAAGAGAGAGTGCGTCTCGTCTTTGGCAAAGACCCTGATTCCTTTATTGTCCCCTGGAAAACCACACAATTAGTATCTGAATGGTCACAACAAAGCTACTCTTTTGCCTTAGCTGCAGCTGGTATCCCGCTAAGTACTAATTACCCTGCCCATCCTTTATTTAAGACCACGTCTGTTATCGCACGAGGCCCATTAGTTGTTTCAAAACCTATTCCCCATGCTCTTACCGTCTTTACGGATGCAAGCGGTCGCTCGCACAAATTTGGGTATGCTTGGAAATTGAATGGAAAATGGAATAGTAAAGTATGGGAAGATAAAGATGTTCATTCTGTACAGGTTCTTGAGCTAAAAGCTGTGGTCTACGCCTTATGCGATCATCCCAAACAAGCCCTCAATATTATTTCTGATTCAGTGTATGTTGTAGGATTGGTTAATCGCATAGATTATGCTAAGCTTGGGAAAATCAGTAACCCTTTGATTGCTATGTTACTTGTTTCTTTACACGGGTTAATTCTGGAAAGAGCCGATCCCCTCTGGTGTACCCACATGCGCAGTCATACGACACTCCCTGGCATCTTTGCAGAAGGCAACGCTGCCATAGATGCAACTGTAGCCACTGGACTAGTCCTCCGCGGTTTTTCGGCTGCCCAGCAGGCGCATGCGTTTTATCACCAGTCTGCCCGAGGTCTGCAAATGGAATTTGGCATCCCTCGGGCCCAAGCGCGTGCCATTGTTGCTGCCTGCCCGGACTGCGCTCGTATTCTGCCCCTACAGACCGGGGGGGGTGAACCCTCGTGGATTAGGAGCTTGAGGTGTCTGGCAAACTGACATCACTGAATTTGCTCCTTTTGGACGCTTCCGATACATTCATGTGTCAGTGGACACGTTTAGTCATGCTGTTTGGGCTACGGTCGCTACGACTACTGCCTTTCGCGCTGTGAAATACCACTGGTTACAAGCTTTTGCAGCCCTTGGACTCCCCAATACCATTAAAACCGACAATGGTCCCAGCTATACAGGCAGATGGGCCGCCTCGTTTCTGCAGCTTTGGGGAGTCAAGCACATCACTGGTGTACCCTATAATAGCACGGGTCAGAGTATCGTAGAACGTAGACACCAGGACATTAAGCGTTTACTCCGTGTTTTGAAAAAAGAGGGGGAGCTGCTGCTCTCTCCACAGGATAGACTGATGAAAGCCTGCTACGTACTGAATTGGAAAAATCCAGTGCAGCTGCACGACAACCGTTACGTGATACCCACGGACATTCATTTTTCTAGAGAAAATCCAGTACTGCACGTCCCTGTACAAACGTGGGACCCTCGGAGCCAACAATGGGGATCTGTACCCGAAACATTACTAACCTGGGGTCGGGGTTATGCTTGTGTATCCACAGGACAAGAACAGCCTCGGTGGATACCGGCTCGGTGGGTAAAGCCCTGGCTCTCCAAAGTGGATGCAGCAGCAGCCAAGAATAACGATACAGGAAGCAATCCGACAGCTTGACGAAACATCACGACAGCGAATACAGCAAAAGGTTGCCTTAGTACAGCAAAGACTACTGGGTTCGGCGGTGGTAAAGGAGGCCATTGGATGGTATTACCACCAAGAACCGTCATTGCATAATTGTTTGTGTATCCTTGATTTATTGTCAGTCACTGTTCGCAAAGGGTGGGACGAACAGCCTTGTCTTGTATGCCAAAGTGAGCTCTGTTTTTCCTGGGTTGCTCTAAGGTGTGGGGGTTGTAATCACAAGATTTGGTGGAATCAGAAATTAATCACTAGGAAATGGTGTCCAAGGTGTGAACATAAATATCAAGCTAAAACGTGGGAGCAAGGGCTTTCCCAAATTCAATGGCGGCAATTACACTTCGAATCGCTAGAGCAGAAAATATTAGCATATTGTAGGTGGACGTTGGAGCTCGAAATACACCGCCTAGAAAGTCAAGAGAAAACACACATACTTCAAGCGCGGTGCAGTCGAAAAGTACCCCTTAGATTTTTTACATCAGTAGGGCCCTTTAAAGGAAGCCCTGATAAAGCATTGGCAGAAGCAGTTCAACAGTTTGTTAGACATGAAGGGTATTATAGCACTGTTCGTGTTGCTCGCTTCTGGCACCACCTCTTGGCTGACGAAAATTGACCAGAGGCAAAACATGTGGATTACATGGGCTAACCAGACTAATTTAACATCTTTCTGCCTATCTTTAGCCACACCTTCTGACCCGTTTCGTACTTGTCTCTTGGGTGTCCCTTTTCAGTCATACACCGACCTTTTAGTCATGCGAGGATGGATAAGTCCCGAGGTTCCCATGCCCCACAATGAAAGTCAATTCATAATTCAACATTGCCATTATGCAGCAAGCCTTAGCAACAATAAAAGCACTTGGGGTAATAAGACGTGGTGTCAGATACAAATTAAATTAAAGAGTGAAAATGGTTTAGCCTTATACCAATGGGGGCTTGCACTGTGGACACGTAAAATAGTGATGAATCTAAATCGTGCTGGGTTAGAACCACAAGAGTTAGAACTGTTGGGCTCCAAGCCAGGAAATTATTGTGTTGTCTTCGGGGACCTTTACGATAACCCGGAGCACAAGCACCCGCTCAATAACAGTGTGATAGTAACCCCCTCTAATGTTGAGATCTACAATTACAAAATAGGAAGCCCCTATTGTATAAACGGAATAGACTTTGTCTTTGAGCTTAACAAATCCCCACGTCGTTTACCCCCTGCTACGTTCCTAGTCTGTGGGGACAGGGCCTGGAACGGCATTCCTGCTAACCCATGGGGAGGCCCCTGTTGGTTAGGCAAATTGACCTTGTTTTCCCCACAACTAAGAGACTTACAAAACGTTACCCGTTCACCCAAAAGACAAAAAAGGAGTATAACCATAATGGATCAAAACTGCAACTCTCACTTACTTTTGTGGAATTCCCCCATCCAAATCTTGGCTTCTATCTTTGCCCCTCATGTTTCTGCAGCCCATGCGTTGAGGCAGATAACACGGTTAGCATGTTGGGCTGGGAAGCAACTCAATATCACTTCTGACATTATAGGGCAGCTTACTCTCGATGTTGATTCTGTGAGGCATGCAGTATTACAAAATCGAGCGGCTATCGACTTTTTGCTTTTAGCACATGGACATGGGTGTGAAGAATTTGAAGGCATGTGCTGTTTTAACCTATCTGACCATTCTGAATCAATCCACAAGAAATTACAAAAGTTACAAGATGGCATGCACGATTTGCTAATCAACAGCAACCCTTTTGATGGCTGGCTATGCTCTTGGGGAATAGGAAACTGGCTGCGCAATATAATAATAGCTTTAGCCGGTCCTTTTATCATAATAGTACTCTGCCTTTGCTGTGGGCCTTGCTTATTACAATGCCTGTTGTCACAAATACATAAGGTGATGGACACGCTATTTGAAAAAAGAGGGGGAGATGTAGGAGGCCGGGGATTGAGAACAATTGAAAGTGTATACAGTCGTGTATAAGCTGTGAAGGTCATGTCTGACCACAAAGGACAAAAGGAGAAAAACAGGATACAGGGTTGGGTAGTGAAAACAGGAACTTGTAGCCGCAGAGCATAAATGACGCCAATATAGGTAACCAATGAGGAGAACCCCTTGTTCGCATGTCCTGCGCGTGGACAAGGTGATGTAGCCAATAAGCTTATGCGTGAATGCGTGTACGGAAGTAAGACAAGCATAAATGTAATCATAGAAGCTGCAATAAACGGAGTTATGCAAGCTCAATAAAAGGAGTTCTGCTTTACCTACATCGTGTCGGTGTTCTTGCTCCCCTCCACCTGGCCGCTACACTGCCCGTGGGAAAAAGCACTTTTTTTTTCAGTGCAAGCAGCTGTTGAACTGCCAGGACAGTCCTGCCTTCCAGTCCCCCCTCCCCGGGTTGCTGTGGGTTTCTCCCCCCCAAACCTGGAGAACTGGGACTTTGTTTTGTTTCTTCTGAAGGTTTTTGATTGCACCATTTGTTGTTCATTCAGGTTTTGTTAATAAAAAGCTGTTTCTTTTCCTTTTCCACACTTCCACCTGCAGTTTCTTAATTTCTAAATTGTAATCTTGTTAAACTAAGACAGCACAACCAGGGACATGGGCAGGGACACAGGTGAGGGCACAGCCAGTGGCAGCAGAGCTGTCCAGGGCCAGGGGCAGCCGGGGGTGTTGGTACCAGCCACTGCTGGGGCCGAGCAGAGCACGAGGCCTCTTCCAGACCCCTGGAGCAGCCTCACACTTGCCAGCCCTGCCCTCATGGGGTGACACTGCACTCACAGGGGTGGCCACCACAGGGGTGGGCCTGCACTCACACAGAAACCTTCTGTGGGTCCTTTTGTCTGTATCTCCATTTGCCAATCCATCCTGGGCACTCGAGGAACCCTCTGCAATCCCATCCCTGAGGCAGAATTCCCTCTCCTCCCCCTGACTGACTGATGTCACAGGTGCCATCTCTCTGCTCGTGAGGAGCTGGATCTTGCACCCAAGGCATCAAATCCTCTTGCCAAAGCCTCTTTCAGTCCAGCCTCGGGTGCAGTGTCATCCCCCCTGTCAGGGCAGATTTCAGAGTCCCTGAGGAGAGGGCACAGCTGGGACCCCCGGGCTCAGGAGGGCGATGCCAGCTCAGTCCTGCCCTGTCCCTGCTCCCCAGGGATGCTGCTGCAGCACCTGGGGAGACAAACAGGGGCTCAGGACCCGGGGAGACAAACAAGAGCTCAGGACCCGAGGAGACAAACGGGAGCTCAGGACCCAGGGAGACAAACAGGAGCTCAGGACCTGGGGAGACAAATGGGGGCTCAGGACCCAGGGAGACAAACGAGAGCTCAGGACCCGAGGAGACAAACAAGAGTTCAGGACCCGGCCCCCGCCCCGGCCCCCTCTGGCCTTTCAGTTCCCTGTGGTGACACACGGGTGCCGTTGCCCAGAAGCTGCTGGCCCAGGGCAGCTGCAGAATGGCAGTCTGTGTCCCCATGGATATTCCTCCCCTTGCATTCACTCAGGTGCCCACAGGGAACCAGGAGAATGTGGAGACCAACAGCCAGGTGTCATCCCAGTGTGAGTCACTGGGAACGTGGGTCACCAGCTCTGTTCCCAATATGGATCCTCCGATGGGTGATGCAGTTGGAGCAGCAGATGAAGTTCTTCCTGCAGTTGGCGCACTCGTAGGGCTTCCCTTACAGGTGTGTCCATTGGTGTGTGGTCAAGGCCCACCTCTGCCTGAAGCTCTTCCCACACTTGTCACACTTGTAGGGCCTCTCCCCGCTGTGGATGCACCGGTGGGCAATGAGGTGGGAGCTGCGGGTGAAGCTCTTCCCGCAGTCGGTACAGTAGAAGGGCCTCTCCCTTGTGTGTGTTTGTTCATGGAGGAGGAGATGTGAGCTGGTCAGAAACGTCTTCCCACACCTGAGACACTCGTAGGGCCGTTCCCCACTGTGGATCTTCTGGTGGTGGATCAGGTTGGGTCTGAGGCTGAAGCTCTTCCCACAATCAGGGCATTTATAGGGCCGTTCCTTCGTGTGCAGGCGCTGGTGGGTGATGAGGTTGGACTGGTCACTGAAGCTCTTCCCACATTTCCCACACGTGTGGGGCTGTTCCCCCATGTGGATTATCCATGTGGCGGATCAGGTGGAAGTTCCGGCCGAAGCTCTTCCCACATTTCTGACACTTGTAGGGCTTCTCCCTTGTGTGCAGGTGCTGGTGGGCAATGAGGCAGGAGTTCCAACTGAAGCTCTTCCCACATTCCAAGCACTTGTAGGGCTGTTCCTCAGTGTGCAGGGATTGGTGGGTGCAAAGCTTGGAGCTCTGGTTGAAACTCTTCTTGCATTCCAAGTGCATATGGAGCCCCTACTCAGTGTGAACCCGTTGGTGGAAGAAGACGGTGGAGATCTGACCAAAGCTCTTCCAACATTCCAAGCAACTGTAGGGCTTCTCTCTGGGGTGAAACTGAATGTGGACCATCAGGTCAGGGCTCTGGATGAAGGTCCAGCCGCCTTCCTGGCACAGGCTGGGTCTTTCCTCCTCAGAGCACCCTGGGCTGACTTTGCAGCCCCTCCTCCTGGGGGACCTTCGTGGCTTTCACTCCCCACTGCCTTCCTGCACCGTGGAACCCTTCAAAACGGTCTCTCCCACCAGGCTATGCCGGGGGGATTTGTCCTCCGTGCTCTCCGTCCTCAGCTCGGGGCCTGGGGCAGGAAGGAAGGACAGGGAGGGGATTTGCCTCTGGCCCAGAGGGAAGGCCAAGGACATCCCCCCAACTCCGGCCCTGGCAGGACAACGGCGGCAGCGGGGTTGTCCTGCAGCCGGGGGCCATGCTCAGCTGGGAGATA